GTGGTGGTAGGTGAGTGACACACTGAGAGCGCGCGTTACCCGTGTGCACGCGGTGGTGAGTCTTGAGCTGTGAGTGTGGTAGGTGAGTGTCACACACACCGAGTGTAGCAGTAGGTGAGTGACACACACACACACTGAGCATGGTGGTAGGTGAGTGTCACACACACCAAGTGTAGCAGTAGGTGAGTGACACACTGAGTGTAGTAGTCGGTGAGTGACACACACAAACACTGAGTGTAGCAGCCGGTGAGTGACACACTGAGAGCGTGCGTTACCCGTGTGCACGCGGTGGTGAGTCTTGAGCTGTGAGTGCGGTAGGTGAGTGACACGTACACCGAGTGTAGCAGTAGGTGAGTGACATACTGAGTGTAGTAGTCGGTGAGTGACACACACAAACACTGAGTGTAGCAGCCGGTGAGTGACACACTGAGAGCGTGCGTTACCCGTGTGCACGAGGTGGTGAGTCTTGAGCTGTGAGTGTGGTAGGTGAGTGTCACACACACCGGGTGTAGCAGTAGGTGAGTGACACACTGAGAGCGCGCGTTACCCGTGTGCACGCGGTGGTGAGTCTTGAGCTGTGAGTGTGGTAGGTGAGTGTCACACACACCGGGTGTAGCAGTAGGCGAGTGACACACTGAGAGCGCGCGTTACCCGTGTGCACGCGGTGGTGAGTCTTGAGCTGTGAGTGCGGTAGGTGAGTGACACGTACACCGAGTGTAGTAGTAGGTGAGTGACACGTACACCGGGTGTAGCAGTAGGCGAGTGACACACTGAGAGCGTGCGTTACCCGTGTGCACGCGGTGGTGAGTCTTGAGCTGTGAGTGCGGTAGGTGAGTGTCACGCACACCGGGTGTAGCAGTAGGTGAGTGACACACTGAGAGTAGTAGTAGTAGGTGAGTGACACACACACCGGGTGTAGCAGTAGGTGAGTGACACACTGAGAGTAGTAGTAGTAGGTGAGTGACACACACACCGGGTGTAGCAGTCGGTGAGTGACACACCGAGAGCGTGCGTTACCCGTGTGCACGCGGTGGTGAGTCTTGAGCTGTGAGTGTGATAGGTGAGTGTCACACACACCAAGTGTAGCAGTAGGTGAGTGACACACTGAGTGTAGTAGTAGGTGAGTGACACACTGAGTGTAGTAGTAGGTGAGTGACACACTGAGTGTAGTGGTAGGTGAGTGACACACTGAGTGTAGTAGTAGGTGAGTGACACACTGAGTGTAGTAGTAGGTGAGTGACACACTGAGTGTAGTAGTAGGTGAGTGACACACTGAGTGTAGTAGGTGAGTGACACACTGAGTGTAGTAGTAGGTGAGTGACACACTGAGTGTAGTAGTAGGTGAGTGACACACTGAGTGTAGTAGTAGGTGAGTGACACACTGAGTGTAGTAGTAGGTGAGTGACACACTGAGTGTAGTAGTAGGTGAGTGACACACTGAGTGTAGTAGTAGGTGAGTGACACACTGAGTGTAGTAGTAGGTGAGTGACACACTGAGTGTAGTAGTAGGTGAGTGACACACTGAGTGTAGTAGTAGGTGAGTGACACACTGAGTGTAGTAGCAGGTGAGTGACACACTGAGTGTAGTAGTAGGTGAGTGACACACTGAGTGTAGTAGTAGGTGAGTGACACACTGAGTGTAGTAGTAGGTGAGTGACACACTGAGTGTAGTAGTAGGTGAGTGACACACTGAGTGTAGTAGTAGGTGAGTGACACACTGAGTGTAGTAGTAGGTGAGTGACACACTGCGTGTAGCAGTCGGTGAGTGACACACTGAGAGCGCGCGTTACCCGTGTGCACGCGGTGGTGAGTCTTGAGCTGTGAGTGCGGTAGGTGAGTGTCACGCACACCGAGTGTAGCAGTCGGTGAGTGACATACTGAGTGTAGTAGTAGGTGAGTGACACACACAAACACTGAGTGTAGCAGTCGGTGAGTGACACACTGAGAGCGCGCGTTACCCGTGTGCACGCGGTGGTGAGTCTTGAGCTGTGAGTGCGGTAGGTGAGTGACACGTACACCGAGTGTAGCAGTAGGTGAGTGACATACTGAGTGTAGTAGTAGGGTGACACACACAAACACTGAGTGTAGCAGTCGGTGAGTGACACACTGAGAGCGCGCGTTACCCGTGTGCACGCGGTGGTGAGTCTTGAGCTGGTGCCGCAGCGTGAACGTCTTGCCGCACACCTCGCAGGCGTGCGGACGCTCGCGCAGGTGGCTCTTGCTGTGCGTGCGCAGCGCCGCCTCGTCGCGGAAGCGCACCCCGCACAGCTCGCACGCCAAGCGCGCCTCCGCTGCACGCAGACCAGAGGTCGCAAACGGGTTTAGATTCCTTACCCATACCCGGCCGCACCAGGGTCGCAAATGGGTACCCGTACCCGGCCGTACCCGTACCCTACCCGTACCCGGCCGGGTACCTGATTGCGACATCTGGGATGAAGCCATGTTGCAGGCGCGGGTGGGTTGATTCTAGGAACTTGAATTGTGAGAAGAGACAAGACGTTGGGAAATGAGTGACAAACGGTTACTCACCAGTGACTCACGGCCTACCCGTACCCGGCCGCACCAGGGTCGCAAACGGGTACGCGTTTGCGACCTCTGACGCAGACCGGCTCAGGTGGCGTGGGTGGGTCGGTGAGCGGGTGTGGTGTAGATGGCGTGGCACGGATGGCAACGGGTTGATGGGTGGGTGGCGTGGGTGGTAAAGATCGGTGGTGTGGTGTGGGTGGGTGGCCTGAATGGGTCGGTGGGTGGCAACGGGTTGATGGGTTGGTGGCGTGCGTGGCATGGGTGGCGTGGATGGGGGGAACGCACGGCGGGGGGGAGACACGTGGGGGACACTCGGGGAAGACAGAGAGACACGGAGGAGACAGGAGGACAGATGGGGCGAGAGACGTGGGAGACACGGTGACGATCAGGAGAGACGCGGGGGAGACGAGAGAGACACTGGAGAGACACGGGGGAGACAGAGGGACACACGAGAGAGACACGGGGAAGACAGAGGGAAGACAGAGAGACACGGGAAAAAAACAGGGTGACACGGGGGAGACGAGAGAGACACGGGGAAGACAGAGGGAAGACAGAGAGACACGGGGAAAAAACAGGGGGACACGGGGGAGACGAGAGAGACAGAGGGAAGACAGAGGGAAGACAGAGAGACACACGGGAGAGACACGGGGAAGACAGAGGGAAGACAGAGAGACACGGGAAAAAAACAGGGTGACACGGGGGAGACGAGAGAGACACGGGGAAGACAGAGGGACACCGGGAAAAAACAGGGGGACACGGGGGAGACGAGAGACAGGGGGGAGACACGGGGGAGACAGAGGGACACACGGGAGAGACACGGGGAAGACAGAGAGACACGGGGAAAAAACAGGGTGACACGGGGGAGACGAGAGAGACACGGGGAAGACACGGGGGAGACAGAGAGACACGGGGAAAAAACAGGGGGACACGAGAGAGACACGGGAGAGATACGGGGAAGACAGAGGGAAGACATAGGGACACGGGGAAAAAACAGGGGGACACGGGGGAGACGACAGAGACACGGGAGAGACACGGGGGAGACAGAGGGAAGACAAAGAGACACGGGGAAAAAACAGGGGGACACGGGGGAGACGAGAGAGACACGGAGAAGACACGGGGAAGACAGGGGGAAGATAGAGAGACACGGGGAGAACACAGGGGGACACGGGGGAGACACGGGGAAGACGGAGAGACACGGGGAAAAAACAGGGGGAGACGGGGGAGACGAGAGAAACAGGGGGAAGACGGAGAGACACGGGGAAAAAACAGGGGGAGACGGGGGAGACGAGAGAAACAGGGGGAAGACAGAGAGACACGGGGAAGACGGAGAGACACGGGGAAAAAACAGGGGGACACGAGAGAGACACGGGAGAGACAGGCGAACAGCCATCGCCGGTGCCGCCCTCCCCGCCCCCCCACCGCTGCGTCGCCTCTCACCCTGCACCACGGCGAGGGCTCTCTCCGTGCACTCGGTGCCCGCGCCGCGCGACCCGTCGCTCGAGTTCACTCCGTCGTCCTCCTCCTCAGAGTTGTCTCCGGCCGCCCCTCCCCCTCCCGCCGGCGCCGCCGCCCCCGCCGGAGCGGACGCCCCCCCCGCGGCGGCGTCGTCGTCGTCGTCGGTGCGTTCCCGCTTCACCACGGCGCCGCCGAGCGACGCCAGGCTCACGCCACCACCGCCGCTGCCGCGGTGGTGGTGGCCGTGGCTGGAGGAGGAAGGGGTGGGGAGCGAGGGTGGGGTTAGGGGGTTGGTGCGTGCGCGTTTAGCTGTCATCGGTGCTGCTCCTAGCTGAAAGCACTTGCCCCGCAAGTCCATTAAGGCTATACGGCGGAGTGGGGAGCTTTGTTCTTTGTAGTTCACCACGGGGTCACCGTCACCACGATCGGCGACCACCGCGCCCATCATCGTCATTACTACCGTTTCCACTGCCATCATTATTACCACCATCACTCATCACTACCACCATCACTCATCACTACCACCATCATCACTACCATCACTCATCACCACCACCACTCATCACTTCCACCACCACTAGCACCACCACTACAACACCACTGCCATCATTATTACCACCATCACCACTCATCACTACCACCATCACTCATCACTACCACCATCATCACTACCACCACTCATCACCACCACCACTAGCACCACCACTACAACACCACTGCCATCATTATTACCACCATCACCACTCATCACTACCACCATCACTCATCACTACCACCATCACTCATCACTACCACCATCACTCATCACTATCACCATCATCACTACCACCATCACTCATCACTACCACCATCACTCATCACTACCACCATCATCACTTCCACCACCACTAGCACCACCACTACCACATCCACTGCCATCATTATTACCACCACCATCACTCATCACTCATCACCACCACCATCACTCATCACTACCACCATCATCACTACCACCATCACTCATCACCACCACCATCATCACTTCCACCACCACTAGCACCACCACTACAGCACCACTGCCATCATTATTACCACCATCACCACTCATCACTACCACCATCACTCATCACTTCCACCACCAGTAGCACCACCACTATACAGCACCACTGCCATCATTATTACCACCACCACCACTATCACTCATCACTACCACTATTACTCATCACTACCACCATCACTCATCACTACCACCATCACTCATCACTACCACCATCACTCATCACTATCACCATCATCACTACCACCATCACTCATCACTACCACCATCATCACTACCACCATCACTCATCACTACCACCATCATCACTTCCACCACCACTAGCACCACCACTACCACATCCACTGCCATCATTATTACCACCACCACCATCACTCATCACTCATCACCATCACTCATCACCACCACCATCACTCACCACTAGCACCACCACTACCAACCACATCCACTGCCATCATTACCACAACCACCACCATCACTCATCACGACCACCATCACTCATCACTACCACCATCATCACTTCCACCACCACTAGCACCACCACTAGCACCACCGCTGCCATCATCACCATCGCCACCATGTCCCTGTACCCCCGTGTCACCCCTACGGATCCCCTTGTCCTCGCAACCCCGTGTCCCTCTACCCCCTGTGTGTCCCATTCTGCAGATCTCCGCGTCCCGTTCCGCAATCCCCTCGTCCCGGTGCCCGTGTACCCCCGTGGAGGGGGGGAGCACCTGGTTGTGGAGCGGAAGGAGACCCCCCCGGTGGGGACCCCCGCCCCCGTGGTGTCCAGGCCGTCAAGCCCGCCGCCCGAGCTGGCCGGGGAGCCGCCGTGCGAGCCGCAGAACGTCTCGTGGTTGGCCACGTCCAGCGACGCGCCGTCCAGGGACGCATCCGAGGCCTCCACGCCCAAGTCTAGGCCTGTTGGGTGGGTGGGTGGACACACACACGTGAGGGGAGACACGTGAGGGGAGACACGGGGGGGACACGCGGGGGGCGTGAGGGGAGACACGGGAGGGAGACACACGCGTGAGGGGAGACACGGGAGGGAGACACGGGGCGTGAGGGGAGACACGGGGCGTGAGGGGAGACACGGGGGCGTGAGGGGAGACACGGGGAGCGTGAGGGGAGACACGGGGCGTGAGGGGAGACACGGGGCGTGAGGGGAGACACGGGGGGCGTGAGGGGAGACACGGGGCGTGAGGGGAGACACGGGGCGTGAGGGGAGACACGGGGGCGTGAGGGGAGACACGGGGCGTGAGGGGAGACACGGGGGGCGTGAGGGGAGACACGGGGCGGGAGGGGAGACACGGGAGGGGAGACACAAGGGACGTGAGGGGAGACACGGGGGGGAGAGACACGGGGGATGCGAGGGGAGACACGGGGGGGAGACACGGGGGATGCGAGGGGAGACACGGGGGGGAGACACGGGGGCATGAGGGGAGACACGGAGGGGAGACACGGGGGATGTGAGGGGAGACACGGGGGGGAGACACGGGGGCATGAGGGGAGACACGGGGGGAAGACACGGGGGGGGAGACACGGGGGATGTGAGGGGAGACACGGGGGGGAGACACGGGGGATGTGAGGGGAGACACGGAGGAGACACGGGAACGTGAGGGGGGACACTGGGGCGTGAGGGGAGACACGTGGGAGAGACACGGGGCGAGAGGGGAGACACGGGGGGGAGACACGGGGCGAGAGGGGAGACACGGAGGGGGAGACACGGGGCGAGAGGGGAGACACGTGGGAGAGACACGGGGGCGTGAGGGAAGACACGGGGGACGTGAGGGGAGACACGGGAGGGGAGACACGGGGGGAGACACGGGGGACGTGAGGGGAGACACGGGAGGGGAGACACGGGGGGGGAGACACGGGGGACGTGAGGGGAGACACGGGGGGGGAGACACGGGGGGGGAGACACGGGGGATGTGAGGGGAGACACGGGGGGGAGACACGGGGGGGGAGACACGGGGGATGTGAGGGTAAACACGGGGCGTGAGGGGAGACATGGGGGGGGGGGACACGGGGCGTGAAGGGAGACACGGTAACTTGAGTAGACAACACGAGGATAATGATGATGAATGAAACTCCACGCAGAAAGACGCCCGCATCGGGAGTCGAGCCCAGGTCTCCCCTTTGGCAGAGGCACGATCGTTACGACTGCGCTGCCGCCCATTCAATCGCAAGTAACCAATTCTCACAACGCACACGCATCTAATCATCGATGTCACGCAACACAACTGCAACCGGTTGCGAGCAGTTGCACCGGAGGCCGAGCTCGTCCCTCCGCTCGGCGTTTCATCGCCTCGTGCGACGCGTCTCGCTCGCCGCGATTGGCCGATGCAATCCTGACGTGGGGGGTGGAGCTGACTGGAAAGGGGGCGTGGCCACGCTGCAGGGGGCGTGGCTAGACGCCGTGGCCACGCCCACAGGCAGCATCCTAGCTGCTCAAGCGCTCGCTCAGATGTGGACAAAGCAGCCGCAAGAAAGGATTCTAGTTGATCGCGAGTCGTCACCGTCCTGACCCCGTGCCGTTACTGGACATCGGATTCCTCCAATATAAATTAATAGATTATGATCCGACTCTGATCCTGTCACCCCCACCCCCACCACCAGCCCCCGCGTGACCCCGCGACCCCGCCACCTGCCTGCATCCGTCGTATTCATCCGCTGCGAGCACGGCGGCGCCACCACCGTCGCACCAGAGCACCCCTCCACCTTCGGCAAAAGTAGCCCCCCGTACTCCGCCGCCCTCACAACCGCCGCGTCCCGCCCTGCCGGAAAGTAGTCCCCGGCCGAACCGGCCGCCGCCGCCGCAGCGGCAGCCGAGGCAGCAGCAGCGGCGGCGGCGGCGCCGGCAGCGGCCGACTGCCCCGACGAAACCAGCGTGACGTCCGGCCGAGAGTCCAACATCTGGCAGGGCTTGGCGCCGTTACTCTCCTGCTTGATGGCGCCGTACTGCTGCTGCGTCTGTGCCTCCGTGTGCACCAGCAGGTACTCGTGAGCCCTCGACGCAAGCAGGTTGGCGCCGCCACCGTGATGGAGGTGCTGCTGCTGTTGCTGCTGCGCTTGCTCGAGCTGCTGCTGATGCTGCTGGTGCTGCTGATGCTGGTGATGTTGCTGCTGCTGTTGTTGCTGTTGCTGCTGCTGCTGCTGGTGCTGGTGATGCTGGTGGTGGGTGCTGGCGCTGACGATCTTGGACGCGATGCGGCGCGACACCAGCGTGGAGAAGTCGGGCAGCGGCGTTGAGCTGCCCGTGCTCTTGATGGTGGAGGCGGTGACGTGGGGCGGCGCCCCGGACGGCTTCGACGACGACGACGAAGACGACGCCGACGAGAAGCATGAGGTGGCGCTCAGCACCGAGGCGGCGCTGGGAGCCCCGGGGGGAGGGGGAGGGGCCGTGGGGGGGTCCCGGTGGGGGTCCACGCGGGCCGCTAGCAGCGCCCGCGCTTCCAGCTCAGCCGCCTGGCGGGCGGGGAGGGGTAGAGGGGTAGAGGTGGTTAAATTTCGATTTAAAGCTTTCGTGACTGCAGGGATTCATCTTCTTGGTTCTTTCGGTAAAGTCATCACGTAGAAGGGAAGTAATAAAATAATAAAACATAATAAAATAATTCTCACGACGTTTCGGCCACAACGCAAGCAGCCGTCCTCAGGTGAAAAACAGGTCTGTCGAGGCGACAGCGTCTGAAATTCAGACGCTGTCGCCTCGACAGACCTGCTTGTGGCCGAAACGTCGTGAGAATTATTTTAGTATGTTTAATTTTTATTATTTTATTACTTCCCTTCTACGTGACTTTACCGAAAGAACCAAGAAGATGAGGTGTAGAGGTGTTACGGGAAGGCGAACAAACACACCGGGGGTGGTCATGCCCGCACGCGTAAGGATGCGTACATCCACGTCCGCACCGTTTAGCCTGGGGGGCTGAAACGGCGCTGTCATCCCCCACGGCCCCACCCCTCGGTGGGGGAGTTGCTATACAAGTATAACCCGTAAAAACAAAGTTTTTCACCATAAATCCTTTATATGCGTGGCGGCTAGAGTCCTCTCGTCCTCTGGCTTGAGATGGCTGCCACCTATGGGTCAGATGATTGTCTGCCAGTATTAAGCAATTGGTAATTAAATATTTAATTTGTTTTCCCTAAACAGTGTAAAATTTTGGAAAAAAATTTTCACGAACATTAATTGTCTCGCACAACGAGTCTGTGTGCAAAATGTCAGCTCGATTGGATCACGGGAAGTGGGTTAAAAAACGACCGAAAGATTTGCACGGTCGTAAGCAAGCAAGCAAGCACGCAAGCACACAAGCGAACTTAATATAAAGGATTTAATAAGGCGGTGAGCCGGTGGGCTCGGGGTTCAGTGTTTAGCTTAAACCAGTGAAGAGTGAAGACCGGCTAGATAGGCCCTGGGACTCCCCTGGATCGCTGTCCTTCTCAGGACCGACCAGGGCAAGCCAGTGGCGTGGCCCCGAGAGCCCAGAGTCGATGCTCTTGTAAGAGCCGGTCTGGTGACTCAGGGTGCCGTGATCCCAGCTTGGCCAGAGCTGGATCAGCTAGCCTCCCCTAGCTCTGTAGTGGAGGACCTGGGAGTAGGCTAGCCGGGATAGAGATTGTGTGATCTCCCTGTTAGACGGGTGAAGGTGCCGGTCTGGGGACTCAGGGTGCCGTGATCCCAGCTTGGCCAGAGCTGGATCAGCTAGCCTCCCCTAGCTCTGTAGTGGAGGACCTGGGAGTAGGCTAGCCGGGATAAAGATCGTGGGATCTCCCTGTTAGACGGGTGAAGGGAGCCGATACCCCTTCGAGTGTTGTATACCTTGGCCTGTATAGAGTGGAACGTTTAATAAATAAGTGTGCCTCCGACTACGTCGTAAAAGTCTCTTTGAACCTACTACAGAGGGACGGGAGACAGGGTGATGGTGGTACTGATGGATGACGAGTGCATTGGGAGGTTCATAATGTCTGTGGTGGGATTGACTGTAACCCTTACCACCACCCTCCCTTCCACTACCCTCACCACACTCCACCACTATTCACACCATACCCTAGCACTAACCACACTATCCCTCTTACCACCCCCCCCCCCCCCCACTTCTAATACCCTAACCACTGGCCAGCACTATGCACACCACCACGTTCCACTACGCTCACCACCCTCTACCACTACCCTCACCACCCCATACCACTATCCACACGATCCCACTCACCACCCCCTACTACTACCCTCACCATTGGCCAGCACTACCCACACCACCACGTTCCACTACCCTCACCACCCCCTACCTCTACCCACACTATCCCACTCACCAACCCCTACTACTACCCACACCACACTCCACCACTATTCACACCATACCCTAGCACTAACCCTAGCACTAACCACACTATCACTGTAACCATACCCCACTTCTACTACTACCCTCACCACCCTATACCACTACCCTCACCACCCCCTACTACTACCCTCACCACCCCCAACCACTACCCTCACCACCCCCTACCACTACCCTCACCACCCCCTACCACTACCCTCACCACCCCCTACTACTACCCTCACCACCCCCAACCACTACCCTCACCACCCCCTACCACTACCCTCACCACCCCCTACTACTACCCTCACCACCCCATACCACTACCCACACAATCCCACTCACCACCCCCTACCTCTAACCAAACCATCCCACTCACCACCCCCTACTACTTTCCTCACCATCCCACACCACTACCCTCACCATCCCTCTCCCTACCCCCACTTCTACTACCCTCACCATCACTTAGCACTACCCACACAATCTGCTACCTCCCCACCACTACACCCTCACCATCCCCCCCCCCCCCGCGCCACCACCGCCCCTCAGCACCCCATCAAAACACGACCCCTTCCACCGCAGGCAGCGCTCACCTCTGCGGGCGACGCCGTCTTGAGGAGGCCCCCGTGGTTAATGAACGTGTAGCGCCCGTCCGCTCCGATGCTCTTGCTCGCCGAGTACGTCGCCCCCAGCGCCGGCTGCTGCTGCTGCTGCTGCTGCTGCACCATCGCGGCCTTCTCCAGCACCGACTGGTAGTACTGCCCGCACGCCGCCTCGAACTTCACCTCCGACGGCGCCACCAGGTGAGGTCCGGCGGAGGTCGCGGTCGCCCCGGCCGCGCCGGCGGCCTTCGCTCCTCCAAAGTGCCAACCGCCGCTGCCGGCAGAACCGGCGTTCTTGTCGTACTCTCCCGACGGCGCCGCGTAGCGCTCGTCCAGCCGCGGCCGCTTCTCCGGCCACTCCTTCGCGCCGCCGGCATCGACGAGGTGCGTGTGCTCGTGCGTCGTCAGCACCGTCACGGCCACCGCCTCGGGCTGCACGCTCGCGCCGCCGTTCGGCACAACCTTCTCGATCGTGTACTGCAGCAACTGATGCTGCTGCTGTTGCTGCTGCTGCTGAGACAGCTGCTGCTGCTGCTGGTGCGGCAGCGGTGCCGGCACCGGCGGCGGAGGAGGGGGCGGCGCCGGCCTGGTCGTCGCCGCCAGCACCGGCTGTTTCTCCGGTTCGTCCACGGGGCTCCTGCCGGTCGCGGCGTAGGCGCGCCCGGCGAGCTGGTACCCGCTGGTGCCCGCCGCCGCAGCCGCCGCATTCGTGGCGGCGGCGACGTCGGTGCCGATGTACATGACCCGCACCTCCGGCTCGCCGGCGCCTTGCCCGTCCCCCTCGCCCGCCCCCACCAGCAGCGCCGTCTCGGCCGCCGCCGCCGCCTGGTGCAGCTTGAGGCACTGCTCGGCGAGCATCACCTCCGACTCGCTGTACTTCTTCCTGGCCGCGACCACCGCCACCGCGGCGGACGGGTCTTCGTCTCCTCCACCGGTGCCGCCGTCGTCATCGACGCCGACGCCAACGTCGCCGCGGTCGTCACCGGCGACGTCGTTGCTCTCCGTCCGCCCGGCACCGGCGGCGTCGTCTTCCTCGTCTTCGACGTCGTCCGTTGCCGACAGCAGCCGGCGCACGCACTGCTCGGCGAGGATGACGCGCTGCGTGTCGTCGTAGCGGACTATCACCTCCTCGCGCACCGTCTCCTCGTCGTCCTCCTCCTCCTCCTCCTCGCAGAGACGGGCCGCCGCCGCCGACGCGCCCGCCACGCCGGCGGCGACCGCGGCGCCGGCGACGTCGTCCTCCTCCTCCTCGTCGTCGAACTCGGCCACGAACTGCTGCTGCTGCTGGTGCTGGTGGTGGTGGTGCTGTAGCTGCTGGTGGTGCTGCTGCTGGTGGTGGTGGTGGTGGTGCTGGTGGTGCTGGTGGTGGTGTAACGTCGTGGTGGTGGTCACCGCCTCCTCCTCGTGCGCCACCACCACCAGCTGCTGCCGCCGCTGCGCGTCCACCTCGTCGTCCTCGTCGTCATCGGCGGCGGCGACGATGTCGTTGCTGTGCAGCCGGGAGCTTCCGTCGTCCTCCTCCATGTCGACGTCCACCCCGCCGTTGTTGGCCGCGGCCGACGCCGCCGCCGTGGCCACGATGGTGGTGGTGCCGTTGTTGTTGGGGTTGTTGCAGCCTTGGTCGTCCTCCTCGTCCTCCTCGTCGGCGGGGCCCACCGTGGAGGGGCCCCTCTCGATGACGAGGCGGGCCTCGGGGGAGAGGCCCTGCACGGCGGCGTGGTGCAGGCCGAGGCACAGCTCCACCAGGCAGTCGATCTGCAGGAGCTGCGAGGCGTGCAGCAGGCGCGGGACCTGGTCCGCCTGCACCTCCACCGAGCCCGAGTACGCGTACTCCATGATCTGGGATGACGACGACGATGCCCGCATCCGGGGGAGAGACACATGGGGGGGGAGACAGACGGAGAGTGACGTGGCCGGGGATAGAGATACGGGGAGACGGGGTAACACGTCGGGAAAGAGGCATGAAGGGGAGAGACGAGGGGAGAGCCACAGGGAGAGAAACGCGGAGACACGTGGGGGACATACAAGAGGAGACACGTGGGTTGGGGGGGGGGAGAAATGGAGAGAGACAAAGGGAGATCGGGACACACAACGACACGGGGAATGGAGAGGAGACACGTGGAGAGAGACACGTTATTATTCAAGAGCCACAGACTCATACAGACCGAGTCTTAAAACCCAGTGAGGCTTACCTGGGTAACCGTGAACAGCACCTTCACTCGCCCCACACACTCACCCAGCACACACAACCTACACCCACACCCCACTCACACCCCATGCACACACAATGCACGCACGCACTCTTCCCACACCGAGGCTCACCTGCTCGAAGGTGAGCGGGGTGAGGAAGTCGAGAGTATAGCGCATGCTCGGCTGCTTGGACAGCGCCATCACTAGGCCCACAGGCTCACCCCACACACACCACTCACTCACACAACACACACGCACCTCACTCGCACAATACTCACTCCCCACACACACAACACGCACACACGCACTCTTCCCACGCCGACGCTCACCTGCTCGAAGGTGAGTGGGGTGAGGAAGTCGAGAGTATAGTGCATGCTCGGCTGCTTGAACAGCGCCTTCACTAGCCCCACTCGCACCCCACTCACACACACACACACCCCACTCACACCCCGCACACACACCTCACTCGCACAACACTCACACCCCACACACACACAACACGCATACACGCACTCTTCCCACGCTCACCTGCTCGAAGGTGAGCGGGGTGAGGAAGTCGAGAGTGTAGCGCAGGCTCGGCTGCTTGAACAGCGCCATCACTAGCCCCACTCGCACACCCCACTCACACCCCGCACACACACCTCACTCGCACAACACTCACACCCCACACACACACAACACGCATACACGCACTCTTCCCACGCTCACCTGCTCGAAGGTGAGCGGGGTGAGGAAGTCGAGAGTGTAGCGCAGGCTCGGCTGCTTGAACAGCGCCATCACTAGCCCCACTCGCACACCCCACTCACACACCCCACTCACACCCCTCACCACACACACACCTACCTCACTCACACAACACGCACTCGTCCCACTCCGAGGCTCACCTGCTCAAAGGTGAGCGGGGTGAGGAAGTCGTGTGTGTAAGGCAGGCTTGGCTGCTTGAACAGCGCCTTCACTCGCCCCACTCACACCCCACTCACACCCCGCACACACACCTCACTCGCACAACACGCACTCATCCCACTCCGAGGCTCACCTGCTCGAAGGTGAGCGGGGTGAGGAAGTCGTGTGTGTAAGGCAGGCTCGGCTGCTTGAACAGCGCCTTCACTTGCCCCACTCACACCCCACTCACACCCCGCACACACCTCACACACACACCCCACACACACACCCCACTCGCACAACACTCACACCCCACAAACACACAACACGCATACACGCACTCTTCCCACGCCGAGGCTCACCTGCTCAAAGGTGAGCGGGGTGAGGAAGTCAAGCGTGTAGCGCAGGCTCGGCTGCTTGAACAGCGCCTCCAGTGTCTTGCTGACGCAGGCGAGCACGAGCTTGTGTGCGTAGAAGCGGCGGGAGCCCACCGCTATCACCACGTCGCACAGCGCGCCCGTGCGCCGCATGCGGTTTGCCTCCGCCAGGAAGCGCACCTGGTGCTCCGGGTTTTCAATCCACATCCCGGCACCGGCCTGCAACGGTGACGCCAGGGCAGGTGAGCGGAGGGGAGGCCGGGGGGGGGGGTGTACGTGGTGGTGGTGGTGAGAGACACAAGGTGAGGCGAGGTTAAGTGTGAGACAGTGAGGTAAATTCTAGATGTGAAGCTTTCGTGACTGCAATGATTCATACTCTTAGTTCTTTCGGTAAAGTCACCGTGTAGGTAAAAAATGAAATTTAAATTAATTCTAGATTTGAAGCTTTCGTGACTGCAAGGATTCATATTCTTAGGTTTTTTCGGTAAAGTCACGTAGGTAAAACATTAAATTACTTGATACAGCTGTCGTGGCTGTGACGGTTCCACCTGAAGACGGAAGCTTGTGTTGCCTCCGAAACGTCGTGATTTTTATTTTATTTTACTTTTATTAATTTTAATGTTTTACCTACGTGACTTTACCGAAAAAACCTAAGAAATAAAAATTAATAAAAATAAAATAAAAATCACGACGTTTCGGAGGCAACGCAAGTCTCCGTCATCAGGTGGGACCGTCACAGCCAGATTTGCTGCATCAACGCCTACGTGACTTTACCGAAAGAACTAAGAGTACAGAGAGTTCAAGGCAGGTAAAGAAAGGTCAGAGGTCAGGGGACATGTAGGAAGGTGAGGCAAGGCACAGGGGTGGTGAGAGGTCGTTACGGGAGATGAGAAGAGATAATGGGAGGTGATGAGCGGTTATGGGAGGTAAGGAGAGGTGATGGGAGGTAAGAGCGATACAGGGAGGAGTGAAGAGAGACAAGGTTTTGTGAGACACAGGGAGATGACGTGAGGTGCGAGGAGGTAAACGGAAACATTAAAGGGAGGTGAGGAAAAGTGAATGAACAGGCAGATGAACAAGAGGGCAGGTGGGCTGAGGGTTGGTTAGATGAACGCAGATGAGTGGAGACATTGCGAGTTGATGCGAGTGAAAGACACAGAGAGGTAAGAACAGGTGAGAGTAGGTCAGGAGATGTACAGGGAGAAAGATGTCGGGGGAGGTGAGTGATAGTTAGGGGAGAGACAGAGAGGCGAGTGGGGGAGGAACGGGTGAAAGTTAGGGGATGAGGGAATTTGAGTTGAGAAGAAACACGGGGAGGTTATTGGAGGGAGGAAAGGGAGGCACGGGGGAGCTTCGGCCGAGATAAGGGGGAGACGCAAGTGAGGTATGTGGAGATGAGAGAAGGCGAGGGGGAGGTGATGAGAGATGGAGGTCGACACCAAGTGGTGCAGGGAGCCATGGGGGTTGAGGAAACGGGATGAACGCCGGGTTAAACTTCTGTCACAGATACAGCGTTGGGAAGCTACTACAGTATCACGCAAACACGCACAGGTTTATCTTCTTGGTTCTTTCGGTAAAGTCACGTAGAAGGGAAGTAATACAATAATAAAAATAAGACATAATAAAATAATTCTCACGACGTTTCGGCCACAACGCAAGCAGCCGTCTTCAGGTGGAGAACAGGTCTGTCAAGTAGACAGAGTTTGAATGGCACACTCCAGGCTTGGAGCGACTATTAATGCTGGGATGGAGGCGCGAAGAGCGTCTTGACAAAATAATTTGCATATTGTATTACTTCCCTTCTACGTGACTTTACCGAAAGAACCAAGAAGATGAATCCCTGCAGTCACGAAAGCTTTAAATCGAAACGCACAGGTTTAGTTGCATGGTCAGGTCACGTGTTAGCACAATACTGTACTTATATAGACGTATGATAGAGGCTCGTTCATGTAAAAAAGCACTACCGACTGCGTTGGCAAGTGTGTAGACTACATGACATTTGTATGCACGTATACAAGTTGAATAGTCTGAAGTGTGTATAGATGTGCCTGTGTGTTTATGCATCTCCGTGTTTATATAGCCGTGTGTATGTTTGTGCATGTTTACGTATTCGACCGTGTGTTTATTAGTCTCCGTGTATATGTTTGTGCATTACACGCGTGTTGCAACGTGTACGCACATCGTATAGAGAAGTACCGTATAGTATACAAGCTTATACACACACACGAACAACACTGTACACAACACGTTGCTACTTACTGTACGATACAATCACAACACACACTACAGCTACACAATTACACGATCGCACGCTAATACCGCAGCCAATAGTGAAATCGAAAGCTGCTACACAATCACATCACTCTCGCAGCATTACCAACAACTCCAATTGTGTTATTACTCGGAAATTATAAACACATTAGCGTCTCAATGTTGACCCTCGAAGCTACCACGAAGATAGAACGCCGGTTACATTTTAAAATCCGGAGACTTTCACCAGACGGATATTAACGAAATAATAAAGACGACAACGCTTTTCACGCACAGCTTAAAGCACGCATGCATCATACAACCAATAATCGTGTCGGCGTAAGTCTAAACAATACATATTCGTCGTCGGCATCGCGTTGTTTCGTTACAAATGAAGCTTTTTATAGCAGTGCCGCGCTAAACGTTACAATTGACTTCTTTTAAACCGCAAATAAGAATTTGCCACGGCGGCTCTGAGCTTCGGGTCAACGCACGAACACCACCACCACCTTACCGCAAAATAACTCTGTCGTTTCTATCCAATCGTCGTCGACATTATCAACGATAGTAACAAATGACAAATTATATTTGAACCGTATTTTTTTTTTCTTTCTAAAAAGCCCGTGAAGTTTGAGGGCAGCCGCGGCGGCGGCGTCGTCGTCGTCGGAGGCGGCGGACCGCGCTAGGCAAGGCCGCAGGCTTCGCGCCCGATCGGGGCCCCCCGCTAGGCCGCACCCGTTTCGCCCTCGAAGCGAGAATTAGGAAATAACAACGGAGGGTTGAAGGGAAGTGATTAAAGGATTTTTTTGCTTTCTTCGTTTACACGAAAGGCACCGACGAGTTCTTTCGATTAAAATAAACACAGATGCCAGGCGAACGAGCAGCGATTATAAATTACAAAGGGGTTGGGGTTGGGCTGGAATTTAACAAGGCCTGGCCGCTAGGCAAGGGCCAGGCTTTCACCACCCCGCCACGCCAGGCCAGGCCTCGGGCTGGTTGATGTTGAACGATGTTGATGATGTTCTTAAGTTGCTGATGATGATGTTGTTGATGTTAAGTGGATGTCGTCGATGATGATGATGATGTTGCGGAGGCGTTGATGGCTACGAGATCAAATAAAGACGACGCCGTTCATGGTGGTCGCATTATCTCGCGCGTCGCTGCCGCCGCCGCCGCCTGTGTTTTGATTGTCGAGCTAAGACTGCCACTGCCGCTGTGTTAGCGGTGTTGATGTCACTGATGATGATGATGGTGCTGCTGCTGATGCTGCTGATGATGCTGTTAATGATGCCGATGGCAACGCCATCCTTTCTTACCCGGGCCCGGCAGCGGGCAAAGAAAAACGAACTAACGAGCCGAGGCCGGAACGATATGCGAGGCGGTCACAGACACAGACAGACACACACACAGACACCACCAACACCACCACCACTACACACACAGACACACACAGACACCACCACCACTACACACACACAGATCACGCAGCGGGTTTGAAGGTAAACCAGGTAGAGAATTACAACGCGAGTAGGGGAGGGGGGGGTCATTCACTTGACACGAACGATGTAGTGGGGGGGTGGGTGGGTGGGTGGGGGAGAGACGCCACACACACACGGGGGTACACGCGGAGACACACGGGGTAGGGGTGGTGGTGGTAAGGGGGGGTAAGGGACCCCCTCACCGAACGCGACAAACCCCAGGGAACCCGCACCCGTGGGGGGTGCGGCCGAGGGGGGTGGAGGCTGTGGGAGGGGGGGCAGGGAGGCGGGGTCAGTGGGGGGGGGGGGCAGCGACCCCATGTGGTAGAAAGTCGGAATTTTATAAACATCAAAATATTAAATTTCGATTTAAAGCTTCTTTCGTGACTGCAGGGATTCATCTTCTTGGTTCTTTCACCAAAGGGCTGATAATTATTTTATTATGTTTTAGTTGTATTATTTCCCTTCTACGTGACTTTACCGAAAGAACCAAGAAGAGGTTTCACTTCACTTGAATCCTATGTTTAAATTTCGATTTAAAGCTTTCGTGACTGCAGGGATTCATCTTCTTGGTTCTTTCGGTAAAGTCACGTAGAATGGAAATAATAAAATAAGTTTTTATAATTACATACTTTTTAATTATTTTAATATATTGTCATTTTATTATGTTTTGTTTTCATTATTTTATTATTTCCATTCTACGTGACTTTACCGAAAGAACCAAGAAGATGAATCCAAATATAATTTTATTTTTTATTATTTTTTATTCACTTCATTTTAATTATTTCTATCTACGTGACTTTACCGAAAGAACCAAAAAGAATATACACAAGAAGTTTTTTGGGGGGGGGAGATTAGATCGCTTAAATATACAACTTTCAGTTTCATATTCTTAGGTTTTTTCTGTAAAGTCACGTAGGTAAAAACATTGTAATTAATAAAATAAAAATAAAATAAAAAAATCACGACGTTTCGGAGGCAACACAAGCCTCCGTCTTCAGGTGGAACCGTCACAGCCTGTCGTGATTTTTATTTTATTTTTATTTTACTTTTATTTAAAAAAAAATTTATACCCACTACACTATACACACTACACTGCACTACACTATAGACTACATTACACTATACACTACACTATACACACTACACTACTAACATTACACTATAGACTACACTACACTATACACACTACACTACTATAGACTACACTGCACTATACACACTACACTACTATAGACTACACTGCACTACACTATAGACTACACTGCACTGCACTACACTATAGACTACACTATACACACTACACTACTAATACTACACTGCACTACACTATACACACTACACTACTATAGACTACACTACACTATACACACTACACTACTATAGACTACACTACACTATACACACTACACTACTATAGACTACACTACACTATACACACTACACTACTATAGACTACACTACACTATACACACTACACTACTATAGACTACACTACACTATACACACTACACTACTATAGACTACACTACACTATACACACTACACTACTATAGACTACACTACACTATACACACTACACTACTATAGACTACACTACACTATACACACTACACTACTATAGACTACACTACACTATACACACTACACTACTATAGACTACACTGCACTACACTGCACTACACTATAGACTACACTGCACTACACTATAGACTACACTGCACTACACTATACACACGACATTGCACTATACCCACTACACTATAGACTATACAACTAACACTATACCCACTACACTACTAACACTATGATACACTACACTATACACTACACTACTATAGACTATACAACTAACACTATACCCACTACACTACAACTCCGCGTGGGGCTACGGTTGCCCCCTGCGGTTGCCCCCTGCGGTTGCGTCACCGTTGTCTGTGGCGGTGCCCTGAGTGACGTCACCAACCCCCTCCCCCTCCTTCCTTCCCTCCCTCCCTTCCGCCCCCTCCCATCGACCCACGCAAAGACAAAGATCCTCCTGTATGTAGCCTCGGCAGACTGATGGGGCAAGTGCCGTGGGCTAACGAGAGAGGGGGAGGGGGGGCAACACCACCACCACGCCCGGCCGCCTTTGTCTCCCCAGTGTCGATGTTTACACACAGGCACCAGGGATTCATTTTCAGGCCGAGTCGACGTAGACGAGGCCCAGGACCGCTTCGGAGATTCGTCACCGATTGTTGGCCGCGAGCGGGAATCGAACTCGGATCGCCGGGTTTGTCGTGCAGTGCTAACCGCTGTGCCACCGCTCCCCTCCCCTCCCTCCCCCACCCTGGCCCCCCCTCCCCTACTCCTCCCCTACTCCTCCCCACCCTCCCCTCCCCACCCTCCCTCCCCTCCCCGCCCTCCCTCCCCTCCCCGCCCTCCCTCCCCTCCCCGCCCTCCCTCCCCTCCCCACCCTCCCTCTACTCCACCTCCACCCCTCCCCACCCTTCCCCCCCCCACCCTTCCCACCCTGGCCTCCCCCCCTCCTCCCTCCCCTACTCATCCTCCATCCCCACCCTTCCCTCCCCTCCCCCACCCCCCCTCCCCACCCTTCCCCCCCACCCTTGCCACCCTTCCCCACCCTCCCCCCCTTCCCCACCCTCCCTCCCTCCCTCCCCTCCCCTCCTCCCCCCACCCTCCCCCCACCGTTACCCACCCTCCCCCCACCGTTACCCACCCTCCCTCCCCTCCCTCCCTCCCTCCCTCCCTCCCCTCACCTCCTCCCCCACCCTTCCCCCCACCCTTCCCCACCCTTCCCCACCCTCCCTCCCTCCCCACCCTCCCTCCCTCTCCTCACCTCCTCCCCCCACCCTCCCCCCACCGTTACCCACCCTCCCTCCCCTCCCTCCCTCCCTCCCCTCACCTCCTCCCCCCACCCTCCCCCCCACCCTTCCCCACCCTCCCTCCCTCCCCACCCTCCCTCCCTCCCCTCACCTCCTCCCCCCCACCCTCCCCCCACCGTTACCCACCCTCCCTCCACACCCTCCCTCCTCCCCCACTCTCCCTCCCTCACTCTCCCCTCACTCTCCCCCCACTCTCCCCCACCCTCCTCCCCCACCCTCCCCCACCCACCCTCCCCCCCCACTCTCCCTCCCCCACCCTCCCCCCCACACCTGCGTTTGTTTTCCCGCTTCTCCTGTCTCTCGCCCCCCCCGCCGCCAACACAAAAGACAAAGGTGCCCCGTATAGCCTGAACGCGCACTTGGGGCAAGTGTTTGTTGTCGAGCCGCAACCTACGAAGGCCGGCACGGACACACGAGGGGAGGGAGGGGGTCACACATAAACGTACCGGATACTCATTTCAGGCCGAGTCAACCTAGGGGAGGGGGCTCCGGACCGGTTCAAATCGTTGTCGTGAGCGGGGAAATCGAATGCGCGCGCGCACACACGAGAGGAGTGGTGGGAGTGCGGTCGTCACCACGCCCGGCCGCCTTTGTCTCTCCCCCCAAGTGGTGATAGCGTTCATCGTTTACACGCCACCCCGTAGTGATCGCTTCACGACTGAGTCTCAAAGAGGCGAGGTCAGTGTGTGTCTGTCTGTGTCAGTGTGTGAGTGTGTGTCAGTGTGTCAGTGTGTGTCAGTGTGTCTGTGTGTCAGTGTGTGTCAGTGTGTCAGTGTGTGTCTGTGCGTGTCTGCGTGTGTGCGTGTCAGCAGTGTGTGTCAGTGTGTCTGCACGTGTCAGTGTGTCTGCACGTGTCAGTGTCTGCGTGTGTGTCAGTGTGTCTGTGTGTCAGTGTGTGTCTGCGTGTGTGTGTGTCAGCAGTGTGTGTCTGCACGTGTCAGTGTGTCTGCACGTGTCAGGGTGTGTCTGTGTGTGTCAGTGTGTCTGCGCGTGTCTGCACGTGTGTCAGCAGTGTGTCAGCAGTGTGTCTGCGTGTGTCAGTGTGTCTGTGTGTCTGTGTGTGTCTGCGTGTGTGTCAGTGTGTCTTCGTGTGTCAGTGTGTCTGCGTGTGTCTGCACGTGTCAGTGTGTCAGTGTCTGTGTGTGTCAGCACGTGCGTGTCTGCGTGTGTCTGCGCGTGTCAGTGTCTGTGTGTGTCAGCAGTGTGTCTGCGTGTGTCAGTGTGTGTGGGGTAGCTGACCTATACACGACAGGACGGACCGGTTTTGTTGCCTGGCCTCCGTGGCCGGAGCGGGGGGGGGGCATCAGAACAAAGGCAAAGATCCCCCATACAGCCTCAACAGACTGTAGGGGCAAGTGCTGTCAGCGAGTAGCAGCACCTATGAAGGCCGGCACGGCACATGAGGGGGTGGGTGGCCAGCACCACGCCCGGCCGCCTTTGTCTCCCCAGTGCCAATACGCATCGCATCAGATATTCATTTGAGGCCGAGTCGACCTAGGAGAGGCCCAGGGACCGGTTCAGATAATCGTCACCGGTGTTGGCCGTGAGCGGGAATCGAACTCGGGTCGCCGGGTTCATAGCGCAGTGCGCTAACCTCTACAATATCGCTCCCCATGTACACACACACACACAATAACACACACACAATAACACACACACGCGCACACACACACCTGTACACACCCGCATGCACAGGTAATATACGCGTACATACACGGGTTCAAGTTAGGTGACAATGGAAGTAACGTATGTGGGTGTGTTTGTGTGTGTATGTGTGTGTATGTGTTTGTGGGTGTACGTGATGGATGCGTGAGTGGGTGTGTGCGTGTGTGTACGTGTGCGTGGGTGTGTGGGTGTGTGCGTGGTGTGTGGGTGTGTGAGTGGGTGTGTGCGTGTGTGTGTACGTGTGCGTGGGTGTGTGCGTGAGTGGGTGTGTGGGTGCGTGAGTGGGTGTGTGGGTGCATGAGTCGGTGTGTGGGTGTGTGAGTGGGTGGGTGTGTGAGTGTGCGTGGGTGTATGCGTGAGTGGGTGTGTGCGTGAGTGGGTGTGTGCGTGAGTGGGTGTGTGCGTGAGTGGGTATGTGTGTGAGTGGGTGGGTGTGTGGGTGTATGTGTGGGTGTGTGTGTGTGTGTATGTGTGGGTGTGTGTGTATGTGTATGTGTGTATGTGTATGTGTGTGCGTGGGTGTACGTGATGGATGCGTGAGTGGAGTGGGTGTGTGCGTGAGTGGGTGTGTGCGTGTGTGTATGTATGTATGTGCGTGAGTGGGTGTGTGGGAGTGTGTGTGTGGGGAGTGGTCGTATAGCGGTTAGCACACTGCGCTAGGAACCCGGCGACCCGAGTTCGATTCCCGCTCACGGCCACCAGCACCGGTGAC